ATTTCCACAGGATTTTGATTTTTTTTGATATTTTGATTTTTTTTGATTCCCGGTTTTGATTTTTTTGATTCTTATTTGATTTTTTTTTTGATCCCTCACCCTCCTGAAACGGGTCCACGTATGGGGCTTTGCGCAGGGCAGCCTAGGCCGTGGACTAGACGTCTTGCATTGGGGTTGGTGGATTGCATCGTCTTGCAAACCCTAAACTCTAAAACCCTAAATCCTAAACCTCAAACTCTACACCCTAAACCCTAAATCCAGCTGTCAGCCAGGTTCCCTCAGCACGTGGGTACACCGGGGGATTTGCCTGCGACCTGATGCTGAAGGAGCCCCAACGTCGCATGGGCTTACCCAGACCCCTTCAAGGATCCAAAAAATTGAACCCCCCAATAATCCCTAGTTTCCCCAATGTAGTAATGGGCTTATTTTTGTGAGGGTTCCATTTTTTGGATCCTTTAGGGGGTCTGGATATGTCCTGGGACGTTGCTTCCAGTCTAGTGTCGGGGCTCAGGTTTTGAACATCAGCGGAGAGCAAGGAAAACACAGGAAAAGGAACATGGTTCCTTCCTTGGGTCATTTCCCTCAATTTCTTCGCTCTCTTTTCCTCCCGTTTAAACTGAGTGCACAAAAGAAGGGTGAGAAGCAGGAGCTGGACCGCTATCATCTCGAAGTTTTCATGCTAGCATGATCTTTAATGCTACGTCTAGAAAGAGCTTATTTTGGGATTCTGTATCTAAATGACTAAATGAATGGGAGAAATCGGAATACTTTCTAAACATCCGATGTTCTTGCTTACCAGAAGTAGTCTTAGCAAGTGGCGTTTTTCTGTAGCCATGCTTCCCGTTTCTATAAACTTCTCAAGCCCCAGACTTTACTTGCAGGAGCTGGATATGACCGTAACACGTCTAAAAGTTGAAGCATTAGCGGAAGGATTCTCAACTTGACACCCTGAACCGTGCCCTAAACCCTAAATCCTAAACCCTAAATCCGGCAAAAAAAACAATAACCTAAATCCTAAGCCCTAAATCCTAAACCCTAAACCCTCTAAACCCGAAACCGCATCAGGACCTAAACCTCGCCACATCGGCCGCCTTTGTATCACAGCCCAAGCTGGGCCTCCCTCTTGGAGGTGGTGCTTAGGATCTGGAATTGAAGGTTTAGGGTTTAGGGTTTGGGGTTTGGGGTTTGGGGTTTAGGGTTTAGGGTTTAGGTTTTAGCGCAGAAGGCATAATACCCTCTCCCCAATAAGAACCCTTCCAACCCCTAGTAATAGCAACAATAGCAGAAATTTCCGAATACAGTGCCATTGTAGACAGCGGTAGATATTTCTTGTAAGGGGGATGGGGGGGTTCACCATAAGGGGCTGAGATGATGGCAATGTTCAGGTTTAGGGTTTCGGGTTTGCCGAAAACCTGCAGAAGTGTGTAGCTGCTGGCTGCTTTTATTGGATTATCCAATTTAGGCCCACATGTGGATATGCGGAATTATCAATAGTGTGCCAGCCTGGAGACTAGATCCCCCAACCTAGGGCCTTAAACCGTAAACCTCTGAACGCTTTTTGTAATGCCACCCATCCCTGGACCCATAATCTGAAGAAGAAAAACCTATGAGTTGGGTACTGCCCCCACCCAGTAACAGTCCATATTAGGGGTCCTATTAAGGGCTATATATAACCATATTATAATCATTATCCAACTATTCCGAGGTGGGGCAGTACCCAACCTATGAGTGTATGAGGGATTACAACCACAGTTTAATTCTTCATGCAGGCCTTCAGTGCCTGTCTGTCACGGTATTCCCAGTTTGAGCAACTCCCTCGCCCTGCATCCCAGATGTCTCAGTGCTGGACATCTGGGTCTCAACCCCAAACAACTAGATCCCTAAACTACATAGATGATAGAGATTTCTTCAGATCTGGTATGTGATCATGAGGCTTGTGTGTTTGCACATGCCTTGGGCACACCTTTGGTAGTGCAGACTTCTGGCCATTCTGGCTGTTCATCCTGGCCCACAGTACCCTAAACCCTGAAGCCCTTCCTTAATGTGCGGTTTACTTTTTAGGGTTTAGGGTAGCATGCTGAGCCGAAGCCTATGGCACTACGTTGACCCTAGGCAGAAACTGGACCCTTAACCACACAATCTCCTAAGATCCCAGACGCTACACTTAATACCTCAGGCTTCACCTTAGACCCTAAACCCTAAACTGCCTGAACTCTCAACTTTAGACCTTAGACCCGAAACCCTAACAGGTCGTAAAACCCTAAAGCCCCAACATCCTAACATCTTAAGACCCTAGCACCCTAAAGGCTTTCATCCCCCAAAGACCCTGAAGCCCTAAACCCTCAGAACCCAAGCCCTAAGCCCAAAACCCTTAAAACCCCAAGCCCTAAACCCTAAAAAACCCAAGCCCTAAATCCTAAACCCTGAAGCCCTGAATCCTAAACCCTAAACTCTACTCTAAACGCTCTTTCTCGTCAGGCTTGGCCTTGCAGATGTACTCGCAGATGAGTGTCTGGGTTGCTGTTGAGGAACTTAGGTTAAGTTACCTTAGGGTTTAGGATTTCCCCATACTAAGGATTGTCGTGTTTGGGGTTTACATTAGGGCCCCCTACTTCGGGAGAATTACCATATGAGTTAACTCCTTAAAGGGGTGTTATTTAGGGGATCGTAAAGGGGTGTATTCTAGGGACTATGAAGCGGGATACTATTTAGGGCTTAAGCTACCAAACAATCGGTGTATGGTGACTAATCCGGTTTCATTACTCTTGTAACTTAAGCCCGAAACCCTGTTATAGCCCTAAACCCTAAACCCCTAAACCCTAAACCCCTAAACCCTAAACCCTAAACCCTTAAACCCTAAACCCTAAACCCCTAAACCTGAACAGCAACCCAGGTGCTCGGGGCGATGGCACCAAGGCCGGCCTGCCAGCAGGGATTCGCTTCTTTGATTCATGGCTACTTATGGCTGAGTCCCTCTAAAGAGGTTTTAGGGTTTAGGGGTTAGGGCTGAGGGTTCATGGGACCTAGTAGCTAGTTATAGCTGGGCTTATAACCCTACTTGTCCTCCCTCTAACTGGACTTATGTAGATTGTCCAAATTATAGGTAGGATATGTCTAAGTTTATAGCATATCCCTTAATAGGTCCCCCGCAAACCCTATATAGTCCCCTAAAGGTACCCGACATAAGTTTAGTCCGTAGTTCATGTAGGGTTATGGGCCCGGGTATAATTAGTTACTAAGTCTCATGAACCTTCAAGCTTATCCTGGTTACCTGCTGAGGAACTTAGACGCTCCCTTGAAAGGGGATACATGGGACTTCTGTAGGGGTGAAAAGAACATGGAACATGACATGACAATTGGTTGTAGTGGGTCATACAGGGATTTAAGACATTGAAATAAGTTACCAGAACATGGGTATATAGCACAAATAGAACTTCCTTGTAATCATAACTTACTTCGAGATCCTTAACAGGAATCCAAGATCTGTCTGATTGCTGGCTGCATACGGGGCGCATTCCCAAAAAAGGAACCCAGCGGAGAGCAGGTACAGATTCAATGGCTCTGAGCATGGAAACTACCCACGTGCACTCCTCCTAACTAGGGTCTGTGCGCCGGACCGCTAAAAGTAGAGAACATGTTGTTTTGCCGCTTGACTAGCTTCAGTGGCTCCAGATAGGACTAGCATCCTCCGGTGCAATGGCATCGAATCTTGTGGGGGAAGCGGTGAATGTCAATGCGCAAAGTGCCCCGGTGGTCGGTGTCCCCGTTGAGGGGAAAGCGCCTCCAGTGAGTGGCAAGGCTCCTGCGGAAATTCCGCCTTGTTGCTTTGGCCCTGAGGCCTGCTGTTGGGAGAGATGCCTGCTTGGGACACCCTTTGGGTGCATTGGGGCGTGCTGCCCATGCTGGAGCTTCTTCCTCCTGGGTTGGGTCTTCACGATGCTCTTCATGCGTGAGGTTACGACGCAAGGTACTGACATCTTCTCCTTCGACGACCCGGCTGTTGAGACCGACCTCAAGGTGCAACAGTGGTTCGGCTATCAGGCAGCTCTCAGTGAGAAGCCTGGCTGCGGGGATCAGGCGCATGAGGACAAAGCAGTCTGCGAGGCAGATGAGCTCTGCGAGTGGGTGACTCGCGGACCGAGTGGCTCTTGCCGAGAGCTCGAGTGTCCGGCTCCACCGCCCAAGCGTCGTCAGAGCCCACTCTACCTGGACTTCCTGCCGGCCTTCATCTCCGTTGTCTATGAAGCGGTGGGTGAGAACGGCAACGTCCTCGACGACGACATCATTTCAATCATCCACGAGTATGAGAAGGAGCTTTTCACAGATGTTGATGGCGCAGAGTACACCTATGAAGGCGAAAATCGCAAGTCACCATGGGACGAGGACTGGTGTCTCATGTCATATCCAGGCCACGGCTATGGCTCCCCAAAGTGTGCTTCGGGCGTGGGTCTGACGCACATGTTCACAATGGACGCAGCTGGCCTGAACAAGGTCAAAGAGCAGGGCCTCGCTGGCTACAACTACCTGGGGCTCCTGGGTTGGGGTAGTTTAGGGTTGAAACTTGAAATAAGTAACTATCATACGGAAACCCTATTATTTTTATAAACCCATATTATGGTACGTAACTAACTATCATAAGGAAACCCTATTTTGTATCATAAGCCCATATTATGGTAGTCTGACTTGAAGTTCCTTGGCAGCAACTGAGGCTGGGGGGCATGATGTCGTGCATCTGTGGGATGGAAGACTCTTGCTCCGTCTGCAATGCGGATGGCACAATGAAGCCCAAAACATCGTGGCCTACAAGCATCCAGACTTGCATCAGCGATTGGAAGAACAGTGTCATCAGCATGTCGCAGGCGCTTAAACCCTAAAAACCCCAACTAAATCCAAAACCCTAAAACCCGAAATCCTAAACCCTAAATCCTAAACCCATGTCATCAGCATGTCACAGGCACAATCGAATGAGACAACCACGACCACTACTACCTTGGATCCCACTTCAGCCCTAGGCCAACTGTGTGCAGCACAGCCCAGCCGTGGTCCAGTCGCCTCTGGCCCCATGAACCTTACTTAGCCAATGGAAGACTTTAATCTTTTTGGGCTTCCTTTTTGGGGTCTATAAAAGAGTTTAAACTTTTTTAGCCCTGGTTATTGGGGAAGAGAGGAACAGCATGGTGCTAGACATGATCGAGCAGCAGATGATGGGGACTATACAGGCTGGTTGCAGGACCAACATGACCTGTGGCTGGTCTCCTCCAGGAACCCACCAGATCTGTAGTTCCTCCGCGTACTTCCCTGCCACGGACTCCACCGGCCTCATCACCGGGGCTGCCAAGGACGCAATTCTCGACAAGATGTGCAACGCCGAGCTGCCGCTTTGGTGGAATGCCAAGAACTCCTTCATGCCCATCTCCTTCGACTGTGAGACCCGCCACGCCAAGTATACAATCTCTCGTTTCTTTGCGGGAGCCAACGACCCGGAGGATGACGACGAAGGCAAGAAGTTCCAAACAGGGTACGTGGAAGGCCGCACTGGCTGGTATGCCAAGGCTGCAACTGGGTTGCTGTTATGGAACTTAACTTAAGTTATCAAGAATGGAGAAACCCTATTATTTACTAATGTATACCCGTTATGGTCACTTGATATTTAAGTACCGTAATAGCAACCCAGGCAATGATCGAGGCAAGGTATGAGCGGGAGCATGGCAGCAAGTTGCGCATCATGCTCTTCTCGGGGGCGACCCTTATCGCCCAGTACTTGGGGATCCTTTTGGTGGATGGCTTCCTTTCCCTGGGCTCACTGATCTCGGTTTGGGCATACATGTGGCTGATGTTGGAGAGTCGGGCGCCCAGAACTCATGTTGTGGGATGCTGAAGAGTCAGGAATAGTGTGTGCAGAACCGTGGCTGGTATCAGTATTCTTACTCTTACTTGTTATTCTCATTACCATTGTTCTTATTATGATATGTGCAGCCCTCTGGGTCTTTCACGGTTTGTCATGCCGTTGATGGAATGCGGAATGCGTCATTTGCTATCTTGAGCTCCTTGCCATGCCTCCCACAGCATCCGCAGAAAACGATCCCACCCTAAGATCCTATTGTTTTCCATATCATTGTTATGGATATCCAGAATACATGTTTCATGTCAAAGTTCACATTGGCATTTATGTTGTTGACTAGTCTGAGTAACAATAATACTCGTATTATTACAGAAAACTAGTGTTCTTGTTATGGTTATCTTCTTCTTTTGTTATCCGTATTCGTCTTATAACTAGTGTTATTACCATTATTGATGCTATGAATTATTGTTAGTAGGAGATGCGTTGCTATTGTTGAGGTGTGTTCTTGGCTTCCTGCGGAATGTTCGAGCTTCTTGGCATGCAAGACTTCACTGAATGCCACGGGCTGTATGGGCCAAGGGATTACCAGGGCTATATGAGGGTAATGGCAAAGAAAGTGGATCTCTGATCTCTCTCTCTCTTTCTCCCCTCTCTCTCTCTCTCTCTCTTTCTCTCTCTCTCTCCCTCAACTATTATTTAGGGTTTTAGGGTTTAGGGGGGGCCAACAGAAAAGCTGGAAGAGTGATCAAGCTGGAAGCCTCTCCTATGCTCCTTCCAGCATATGGTGCTGAGGATCGTGTTCTCTCTTCCGGTGGGCATGTGCCTTTGGGTGATTGTTGGTGGGCAGAAGATCTTCTGGTACCAGTTGCTGGTCATCTACATGATTCTGGGCATTGGCGCCGATGACGTGTTCATCTTCTACGATGCCTGGCTGCAGTCTGCGCACGCTGAGGGTGTGAATCACAGCAAAACCACGCGATTCTGCTGGGCCTACCGAAGATCGGTCGGTGCCATGCTCGTGACCACGCTGACCACTTGTGGATCCTTCTGCATCGGTGCCACATCGCCGCTGCCTCTGGTGCAGAGCTTCTGCATCTTCGCTGCCTTGGTGGTGCTGATTGACTACCTCTTTTGCATCAGTTTCTTCGCTTCCGCCGTTTTGGTGTACGAAGAGTGGATCAAGGGCTTCGGCTACTGCTGCCGCTGCTGTGGTATTGAGGTCCGTGAGCCAGGTACGTGCTGTGGACCTGGCTGCTGCTGGGGAGGGCTCAGGGCCTGCCTGACCTGCTGTGGAAGAAGCTGGAGGGTGATGCCCAAGCCTCCCAAGCCAGAGGACCCCCCTGAGCCTCGAGCCATGGAGAAGTTCTTCGCCGGCCCCGTCTTCCGCTTCTACACGAACCACAAGATCAAGCTCATCCTCTTCTGGCTTGCTGTGGTCATTGGCATGGCTACCAGTGCAGGTGTTCAGCTTCGCACAGCCAAGAAAAGGGCGCCCATTGGCCGTGAAAACATTGACGTCATCAAGGGCTCCGATGTTCTCTTCTCGGAGTTTGAGTTCTCCACACGGCCCGTCACCGCTTCCATCGTCTGGGGGCTTCAGGATGATGAGCCCGTAACGTGGGCCCGTGACAGGCCGGACTCCACCCTGAACGCCCCTAACTTTGGGGGAAGCTCAGCCGTGAACCTGGCAATGCCTGCCAATCAGCTGGAGCTCTTGGCCTTGTGTACGGCTGTAGATGCTGGACAAGATGCTGCCAATACGCGCTGTGGAACACGTGAGTGCTTGGCCCGTGGCTCACCAGTGGCTGGGTCCTGCCCACGTGATGAGGAAGCCTGGCAAACCACAGGCATCTACGTCCGAGCTGAGGAGAGCTGCGTGACATCTCGGTATTGCTTCATGGAGGACCTGCGGTACTTCTGGGCGTCCAAGCAGGGCAACTGTCCAGGAAAGAACAGCATCGCCTGTGCAGCAGCGGCTGGATGCGCCTACTCCTCCACGACCTCAAGCTGCTACTCCACCACTGACCCCCTCAGCTACCCAGGACTCTCGGAGAGCGACTTCATCGCGCTGCTGTCAGCACCATCTGCTGGCGATGCAAGGATCACCGAGTGGGAGGACTATCTTGAGCGAAAGGCCAACTACCTGAAGGGCGCCAACCGCCGCTATGAAGCCGACTTCATGACACAGTACACTGGGATCAGGCTCAACACCGACAAGACGGCAGTCCAGTTTGCATGGATCAGCTACAATGCGACTTTCCCACGTGAGAACACTGTGGATGAGGCCAACACGTGGTACAACCGCTGGCAGGAGTTCAAGGACACCCATGCGCCAGACCTGGGTGGTTTCCAAACAGCTGAGCTCTACCTGTTCTTGGTAACCCAGAACCTGGGTTGCTCTTAGGAAACTTAAACTAAGCTGTTACAAAGGAAGCCCCTCCTTAGCAGCAACCGAGGAACGAGATGGTCAAGGCCGCCACCATGGGTATTGGCTTGTCCCTGCTGGTTTGCTACATCGTGCTTTTGTTGACCACGTGGAACTGGTGGACCTCTACCTTGGGCCTGGTTTGCATCATTTGCATTACGGCCACATTCCTTGGTGTGGTTCCGCTTTTGGGATGGAGCCTGGGCGAGAATGAGTGCATCTTCATGATCGCTACGGTAGGCCTCTCGGTGGACTACACGGTGCACCTGCTCCATGCCTACAACTCCACGCCGGCAAAGTCGCGCATCGACCGTTCCCATGCCGCCTTGGAGGAGATGGGAATTTCTGTGGCCAATTCGGCCATCACCACGCTCTTTGCGGCAGGCATGCTCTTTGCGTGCGGCTTTTACTTCTTCTTCCAATTTGGAGGCTTCATTTTCATGGTCATCGGGCTCTCAATCATGATGTCCACCAACTTCCTGATCCCTTTGTTGATGCTGATTCTGGGTTGCTGTTCGGGCACTTACATTAGGTTACTTCAAGAAGGAAATACTATGTATCCCTAGAATGGTAACTTAAACTCAAAGCAATAAACCTTGTTCCCTAAACCCTAAACCCGAATTCATCAAACAAACACCGAATTCCTTAACAGCAACCCAGGATTGGTCCGGAGAACGAGCAGGGGAATCTCTTCTGCTACCGATTCACCTCCAAGAGCCCCGTCAGCACGGGCCCAAAGCACACTGAGTGACTGGGTTGCGGTTAAGGAACTTATTAAGGAACTTATTGCCATAATATGTGGGAGGTTTCCCAAAATTAGGAGTACCTTTTTGGGGGTCCTCATGATAATGAGGGTTACAATATTTTGGGGTCTGTATTAGGGTCTCCCTCTTTTGGGAAACTACCATATGTGTATATAGTAAACACTAGGGTGACCTTATTGTAGCAGCTTTAATTTAAGCACCTTAGCAGCAGCTCAGGTGAATGGCCTCAGCTTTCCAACGGTTGCTTCCTTTCAGCATCCTTGCAATCAATGCCTTTCAGAGTTCACAAGGACACGCCGTCTCGGGATGGAGGTTAAGCCTTGCAAGAGCCATACCCCTTATAGACACGTTTTCCCGCGAGCCGGCGCCCAAGGCGCACAGCGCATCGCTTACAGTTTTCTTAGTTCAGCCGCGGCTCCTCGCCTCTTTGTCACCCAAGGTACCTCCAAGCTTCAAGCTTAGGAACCGGAGCCACGGCCGGGCATTTGACCAGTGGCAAACTGGCCACTGCTAGCAACTGCAACAAAGCAGAGCTGACCTGTATCCATGTGTGAGTGCAAGCTGAAGGGCAGTGAGCGAAGGGGTGGGAGGCGAAGCCTCCCCTCCAAAAATCTGGGGCGAAGCCCTTTTCTGATGAGTACTTACATATCTGTGGGGTGCTACCATGAGAGTGTTGAATCGGAGCTTGCTCGATCATTCTGCTTGATGCTCACCAAGTTTATCTGCCTGTTCTTTATGCCGCAGACTCAGTGGAAGAACCTCATGTACTTTCATCAGAGTATGAACGTGAGACTGGATATGCAGCCTTTTAAGCTCATACCCGGGTCTGCAGCATCAGTGTACGATGTTTCCAGAGATAGACACCACTGACGTATCGTGTGCTTGCATGCTTGCTAGGGTATCGGTTCGATGCCGTGCGCAGCTGTAAACAGCCCACGGTCCTGTTTCGTTCCCGGCGCTGGTCAGAGTTCAGACATGTTTGCATGTTACCTTATCTAATCGTCACTTCTACTTCAGTAGGTCGATATGGGGTCTCCATGAGTTTCCCGAAATTCGGGGGTGCTCTTTTGGGGTCCCTATAATTGGGATTATAGTACTTTGGGGTCCATGTTTGGGTTCCCCTATTTACGAAAACTACTGAATAATCGTAGCTTGCATGTCATTTTCCTTTTGATTCTCCACACCCTAAACCCTAATCCCTAAACCCTGGACAATATTCTCATTTACAGAAGTGACCATATCTCTGACTGCGACGGGTTGCTCTCATCGGAAGCAGACCTGATTCAGATTCCCAGACGACCTCCAAACAATGCGGGTTTAGGGTTTAAGGTTTAGAGTTTAGGGTTTAGGGTTTGGGGCCGCGGGCCGCAACGCGCAGCATGGAAAAAGCATTGCTCTTGCAGTCCCGAGCCTGCATCATGCCCTGTTTGGAAATAGCAATAGGCTCATCACAATGAGAACAATAGAAAGCAGAAGAATACTGGTAGTAATGATAATAGTAAGAACAGCTGAACAGGACTTCTCCGGTCTCTACGTTCATGTCTCGGGCGACGGTGCCGGCCAGAAGAAGAACTGACAGGCTTGCTCCTGGGGTCGTGCTCCCAATCAGGTTGTGTATCCGAAGCTGCAGTTCCAAGAAGGGCCAATACCCCTTCATTGAGGAACATGCCTTAAATGCTGTTAGAATCCCTGATCAATATGCTTTCAGGCATTCCTGCATTAAGGGATATTGGGCTCCTTGGGTAGTTTTCAGAGCGCTGTCCTTAGTTTTTCCTGCCTGATGCTTCCTAAGTTTATGAACTTTGTCAAAGGTGTAGGACCCTCGTTACAGATTCCAGGTCGAGCTGCAGGGTGTGCCCTGTGTGAGCACATGTGTTTTTGAACGTGGGCCAAAGCCTTTGGGGCCAACGATCCCCGCACTTCATCACGTTTTGCGACGTCATGTGTGTACCTGCAAAAATGTGCGCAGGTACGACAGGCGCCGGTGTCCTTGGACTGGAAGCCGTCTGAGCATCTCTTGTCCTGTGTGCTATGTGGGTCGTTTGGACCACCGCAGGCGACCGCAGCGAACAAGGCTGCATCTGTTTCAATTCTTTTGTACATACCGTTGGCATCATACAGTATCCTGCCACAAGCTTTTGGATGGGTGGGCTGCCGATGCTGAACTTTAATTCCAGCTATTCCACAGATGCACCGCCCTAGCATTGAATCTGCCGCTTGGACCACAACCAGATGAAGATCTGGCTTGAGCAAAATCTGGTGACTGTTAACTATAGGTTTGTTTAAGTGGTTGGGATGTTATATAGAGATTGGGATCATTACATGGAGTTTACATACAGATTCTGTGAGAGTATAGAGGAACATTGAGAAGATTGTACAAACATTATCTAGGGGTCATGTACGGACTACTTATCCCCATTAGTAACCTACCTATTTGGTCCCCCTGACTCTCCAAATAAAGTGTCAGCATGGTTAAGGCGCATAGTCTGACCGCAATAGTCATGGTAATAGTATGCTAAGCTCCCGGAATGCTTAAGACAAGTTTGGCGCACCCAGGGGGTTTGAGGGTTCACAACTGGTATATCGGGAATGATTATCATAGATTCGGGTGGGCCGAAGCTGTCTTAAGCATTCCGGAGGGTGTGGGCGAGGGCTACCAACTGGTATATCTTGAGAGTCTTCTCTACCACGTTGTAGACCCCCGTCTTTAGCCTATGTCTCTCAAAATCAAGGCTGACCTAATTATACACTTCCAGGTCCCGTAATTATACACTTCCAGGTCAATAATTATACACTTCCAGGTCCTCTAATTATGTACTTCAGGTCCCCAATTTGGCAGGCCTGGGGCTGATGCTCGACAAAAAGCCGTTGTAAAATGCGTGACCACCGCCACCTATCGACTATCGTCTTAGGTTTTAGCTCAAGGGGCTTGTTGCCCCCCGGAGGAGACGGCAAGACTCCAAGCCCCCGGAATGCTTAAGACTACACGGATTTCTGGTGCAAAAGCCGGGTTTGGGTATAGGGTCTCAGGGCCTGCCTAGGTCCGGCGATGGTGAAAGAGTTCCTGAGGGCTTCAGTCGCTGTTACAATCATCAGAACCAGCAGCAAAATCGACGGAACGTGGGGATGGGCCCAGGCTGAACCGAGAGGATCGTTGATTCCCAGCAGAAGTCTGAGGACGTTCCACGCGCCAGCGAACCAACACGCCACAAACACCGCAGAATTCTGACGACGCTCCACGCGCCAGCGCTCCAACGCGCCACAAACATTAAGAAAGTCGTTGATTGCAAGCAGAATTCTGACAACACTCCACGCGCCAGCACTCCTACTACGCACGAAGAACACCGAGAAGGTCGTCGATTCCAAGCAGAATTCTGCGGACGCTCCATGCGCCAGCGCTCCCAGCCACCCAAAACTTTGAGAAAGCCGTCCATTTCAAACAGAATTACGAGGACGTTCCACGCGTTACCGCTCCAACACGCCACAAACACCGAATCACTCGTCGATTTCAAGCAGAATTCTGACGACGCTGCAGGCGCCAGCGCTCCAACGTACCAAGACAACGAGAAGGTCGTCGATTCCAAGCCATATATTTTGAGGACGCTCCACGCCATGCTCCCACCCGCCCAAAACCCGAGACGCTGGGTCGATTTCGAGCAGGACTCGGAGGAAGCTACACGCGCCAGCGTGCCGACCCGTCCAAAACCTTGAAAAAAAGCGCATTCAATTCGAGCAGAATTCTTATAGGACAATCCACACGCCAGCGCTCTGACTCGCCAAAAAATGTCGAGAGAGTTGTCGATTGCCGGTTAATTCTGAGGATGCTCCACCCGCCTGCGCTCCGACGCGCGAGAAACACCGAGACGGTCGTGGATTCCAAGCAGAATTGAGGACGCTCCGTGCGCCAGCGCTCCAACGCGCAAAAAAACACCGAGAAGGGTGGAAACCAAGCAGAATTCTGCGGACGCTCCACGCGCCAAAACCCCAGACCTTCGTCGATTTTCAGCAGAACTCGGAGGACGGTTCATGCGTCAGCGCGCCGACCCCCCCCAGAACCCCGTACAAGGTCGTCGATTCCGAGCAGAATTCTGAGGGACGCTCCACGCGCCAGCACTCCGGCGCACCCCAAACATTGAGAGGGTCAAGCTATCTGGCTCCACATCCGAACCGATCCGAACCGATCCGAACCGATCCGAACCGTTCCGAACCGTTCCGAACCGTTTCGAACCATTCTCTGGACGGAGCCTGGCCCACCCCTAAGCCCTCGGAATGCTTGTGCCTCCACATCCGAACCGATCCGAATCCAGAGAATGGTTCGGAACGGTTGGGATCGGTTCGGATGTGGAGGCACAAGCATTCCGAGAGCTTAGGGGTGGGCCCGGCTCCCTCCAGAGAACGGTTCGGAACGGTTCGGATCGGTTCGGATGTGGAGGCACAAGCATTCCGAGAGCATAGGGGCGGGCCTGGCTCTGTCCAGAAAATGGTTCGGAACGGTTCGGAACCGTTCGGATCGGTTCGGATCGGTTTGGATGTGGAGCTATAGCCTGACCTTCTGAATGTTTTGGGTGTGTCAGAGTGCTGACGCATGGGCGTCCCTCAGAAGTCTGCTCGGAATCGACGACCTTGTACGGGGTTCTGGGGGGGGTCGGCGCGCTGACGCATGAACCGTCCTCCGAGTTCTGCTGAAAATCGACGAAGGTCTGGGGTTTTGGCGCGTGGAGCGTCCGCAGAATTCTGCTTGGTTTCCACCCTTCTCGGAGTTTTTTTGTGCGTTGGAGCGCTGGCGCACGGAGCGTCCTCAATTCTGCTTGGAATCCACGACCGTCTCGGTGTTTCTCGCGCGTCGGAGTGCAGGCGGGTGGAGCATCCTCAGAATTAACCGGCAATCGACAACACTCTCGACATTTTTTGCGAGTCAGAGCGCTGGCGTGTGGATTGGCCTAAGAATTCTGCTTGAAATCAACGACCTCTCCGGGATTTTGGACAGGTTGGCACGCAGTTCTGCTTGAAATCAACGAGCGTCTGCAGGTTTTGGGTGGGTTGGAGCGCTGGCGCGTGGGGCGGCCTCACAATTCGGCTTGGAATCGACGACCTTCTCGCTGTTAGCGGCGCGCTGGAGGGTCCTCTGAATTCTGCTGCTCGAAATCGACGACCTTCTCAATTCTCAATTGGTGCTGGGCGGGTGGGAGCTCTGGCGCATGTGCTGGACGGGTGGGAGCT